GCGTCCGAGTCAGGGCGTGGACAGCTGAGCCTCGAGCTGAGCATCAAGCAAGGCCCGGCCGTCACTTGTCACATCCTGTGCTGTCAAATGGCATGTCAGCGTCCTCTAGCATCAAATAAACTTTTGTATAACTTGCAGTGCCATCTCTTCGGATGACGGCCAAGAAGGCCTTCGCTAAGCACGAGTTTCCCCTCGTGTCGGCTAACTTCTCTGATCGCTGCCGTCCCATGACCATCTTCCTACAAGTACGGCCCGAGCAGCATTTTGTAATCTCGTCAAGCTGTAAGCGAATGTCGCTCATCCAAATGCCTCGCTAATCTGAAATTACCATGGCTGTTGCGATGATACTGTAGTTCCAATTACATGTACCTACTAGAAGGAACAGACGAAACAACAAAAATGGCATCTCATTTGCTTCTGTCAATAGGGCAAGACTTACCCATGGCTGAACGCAGCGCTTCGTCGACTTATTTCAATACCTAGGTAGGCATAAGTAGGTACTCCTAGCTGAAGTGTTCGCACGACTTTCGACTTTGCTGGGTTCTCACCACCATCGGCGTAGTTCCACTTATCAAGTTCTATTTTCACAGTCTTGTTTGGTGCTTCGTAGTGGATTCATATCCAACACAGACCCATTAAAGGACTCAGGGTCGTGCATAAACCTGTACTGCTCGCCCAGAAAATTTCCTGCCCCCATCCTCTTGTCTCCTGAGGCCTTAGTAGACTGCTCTCCTATAGCATCGTCCCCATCTATGGTAGAAAGGGCATAAGTGAGGAAAGCCTAATTGTCAGATTGGACGACTCGTGACTCAATATAATTCTCCAGCGTAGCCAGTAACGCTGTCGGGGAACTAGTTGTCTGAGTCGACTTTCTGTAAGATTACGAGACGACCTTCTCCAGGCGCGACATGTCAACAGCTTGGCCGTTGACTGGGGCCTCTTTGGCTAGCTGTTCAGCACAACTCTAGGTAGCGTACTGCTTGAATACATTCCACTCACATTTGCTCATGCCTGCCACGAAGGTTTCAGGCAAGGGCATGTAGATTCGCATTCATATGACAACATCAGTGTCAAGACGACTAGAAAGTTAAAGACTACCCTAAGAAAGAGCTTGATTGCACCGCGGTTGGCATGTTCCACCGAAGTACAAGAAAGATTCTCGAAACTTTTCCTACTACAATCCTGAAGCCGTTGGGAGAAGAAAGAAATCGCCAAGCCCAAAGCTTTTTTGGAATGGGTACAAGATGATATTCCTCGTTTAATGTTCTGGTCAAGTTGTCAGAGGGCTCAAGCAAACGACGAGGTCTCTTGGGCTGCGCAATGATGCACAGTCGCTGCGAAACGACAGAGTGACTCATTATTCTGGTCTTGTGACAAACTCTAATTGGACTTTACTTAGCGTAACTAGAAATTACAAACACATAAAGTCTTCTACTTTCCCTCGAGAAATGAAGTTGCGTTTACATTAATGGGTCACGTTGGGCGCCGGCAGCGTGCGCAGCTCAGATACACGAACCCACTCTCAAACGGTTACGTGAGCATGTCAATTACAGTCCAGTAAGCAATTCTTGCTAAGCAGATATTGCTGTACCCTCGTGGGACTATCGCTTTCACTGTATCTGCCACAAACAAGCTACCATGTGATATGCGAACCAACTTTGTATTATATATAAGATGTCTTCAGCGTCCAGATTTCATTGCCGCAACGTCTAAAGATAAATGGGTTCCACTGTAATGTTGTTCAAAACGAAAGGGGAAAAGAAAGATTTACCCGGCACAGTTACGTTCACAACTCGTAGAGTCGGGTAAATAAACTTGCCAGAGACAGCATGGTTGTAGCAAGTATGCCACACTGGAAGGCCTGATTTCATCACATCCACGCTATAATGCAAGCGTCGCAGCCGATATTCAGCATCAAAGTCGAATTTTTGCACTGTTGTGTGTGTTGGGTATCCGTCAGGGTGCACCACTTCCAACGTTCTCCATTTCTCGCCATTCTCAGGCGTCGACCCATCTATCTCATGGATCTGGATGTCCGATGCTTGAAGATGGAAAGGAAAATTGAAATAGTTCCAAAATGCATAGCCGATGAAGTAAATGAGGTTGTGGGCATCCCATTTCGAATCATAAGTATGTGAGTCGAATGCAGCCCTGGGATTCTCTCGAACATCCAACGGATCTGGAGAACCAATCTGGCCAACTTCAGTGCGATCGGGCGACCATGATCCGTAATAGGGTCCGAATTTCTCAATGGTGACTTTTTGAGTCTTTGTATCGACTATTATCTTGACGTCGTGAGGCCCGGGATGCCCTTTGTTGGCCAGCGCCAGCCCCGAGAACTCAAACTCTACGGCGAGAAACAGAACCGATTCCCAGTATTCTTGGCCACCGTGAGCGTCAATAACGCTTTGCAGAAGATCGGAACTGAAAGACAGTTAGTATTCATTCCAATTTAAAACATAAACTTAGACATCAAAGAGAGAATGGCACTGTAGAAGTACCTATTGGAAGACATTGCATGGAAGAGTTGCGAAACAGAAGCTATTACTGCTGCGCCACGAGCTACGTCTGGGCTTCACGCAGCTAAATAGTTGAATCATTTTCCGGACTAGGAAATTTTCTCAGGCTAACTGGCGAAATGGTTGAACAGATTAATCATCTTCGAAGAACATATGCAAAAGATTCCACGTTGATATACGTCGACAGCATTTCGTATTACTGAACCTGAAACTGATTGTAATGGACAATGGGGCTATGGAGAATGAAGATCAGTAAACAGTCGGTATAGTTAGGCAGGCCGAAGCAGGAATAGCTTGATATCACTATTGAAACGAATAGTCGTTAGGACCGGAGGAGATGCCTGATGGGCGCATGGGATAGGATGCGCGGGATAGATTGTCGGGTGAATTACTCATACTCCCGCAATATGCTTAGCTTGGGACTCTCTGTTCACCCAGGGTTGGTTTACCAAGATTGGAATGGATTCCAAATCACTTTGATGTATAAGATTAGTCGATTGGAAAGTTGGCCGACGATTCAAGATGATAGTATTAACATACTCGCTTCTTTCTCCGACTTCCCAGTCGCATTAGCTTGGTATATAAACGAGCGGAATCTCCTCCTCGTTTCCTACACGATCCCAAACAACAACCCAAAGTCGAAGAAATCGCTTGGTCGAACTCTTCTCAGCATTTAGATCAAGTCTTTGTCTTCCTCTCTCTACCTTCACCATGTCGACTGATAGAGGCCTCGAAATTTCAGCTGCCTTCCCGTACGAGAAGAAGAAGGTACAGGTTTTAGGAAGCCAAATGGCCTACGTCGATGTTGGCACGTCTTCAAAATCCACTGTCGTCTTCTTGCATGGCAACCCGACATCTTCCTATCTTTGGCGCAACGTCTTTCCTCATGTAGCGAAGAAGAGCCGCTGTATCATCCCGGATCTCATCGGCTTTGGAGACTCCGACAAGGTTCCCGAGTTGGAATACAGAGTCCGCGACCACCAGCGCTACATCGATGCTTTTCTCGATGCCGTATTGCCAACAGAGCGCATTACGCTCGTCATCCACGACTGGGGCTCTGCTCTCGGCTTTGACTGGGCCAGTCGCCATGAAGATCGCGTCGCAGGTGTCGCATTTATGGAGTGGATTCCAGCTCTTAGTGGTGGCTGGGACGCTCAGGCTCCTCAGTTTAAAGCGACCTTTCAACCCCTTCGCACTCCTGAGCTCGGTCGAGAGTTGATCATCGAGCAGAATTTCTTTATCGAAATTATTCTACCCAGGGGCGTCTTTCGAGTCTTGACAGAAGAGGAGATGACTGAGTATCGTCGACCATTTCTTGTTCCTGCAGACCGTGAGCCCACTTGGAGATTTCCCAACGAGATTCCAATTGATGGACATCCGGAAGATGTGTGGGAGAAGGCCCAAAGATACATGAAATGGCTTCAGGAATCAGACTTGCCAAAGCTGTTCTTCTGGGTGAAGCCTGGAGCCATCATCAGAGAGGAACACTTCAAGACGTTGAGTGAGAAGATGAAGAATGTCAAGACTGTCTATCTCGGACCTGGAAGCCATTATGTGCAAGAAGATTACCCCCATAGCATTGGGCAAGAAGTTTCGGGATGGATGGCAGAACTGAAGCTTTGATGTCAGCAAACACTTGAATAGAAATACACGTATCATCTGCAGCACGATTTACAGAGGGCTGACCGCCTAATTTACTGCCGCCATGTGCAATGACCTCAACTCTCCAACGTTCATCACCAAATAAGTTCACCATGCAATGCAATACAGATTCAACCGCAGATTATTTGAAACGGCCTATTGCACCTTCAACACTTCGAAGTGAGCATAGACGTTCTGACTCTGCATAGAAAACAAATGGGTCATCGGAGAACAAGCGCTGCAATAGTCGAAACAGCAGAGCAACCCTCTATGTGTGAAGTTCAGTTAATCTTAAGTTGATGTTTCTCTTTTTGCTTACCGGCATATAGGGTCCTTCGCTACAAATTAGCGACAGCCGCTCGGAGCTCCGATCTGATCGAACATCGTAGACTCCACTAGCATCGAGACACCATAAGACGGGGTCGGAACCGACGGTCCACCGGCAGAGAAAACTGACCGAATCCGGTCCCAGAAAGATTAGACAAAAAGTCTGAAAAGAGCGGGAATGGGTTCCAGCGACGATTACCTATTACGCGGCTCGGCTTCAGGTTTTTGAGGTCTGGCAAAAAAAAATGGCTGCTGCCCTGTCCTACTAAGATACAATCCGGACTCGGGGTTCGGATTTGGATGGCGGCACAGGCCATTCAGAAGCTCTGATGTCAACGGCTCACATGCACCTATATTTGGAAGCTCCTTCTGTTTCACACTTTCTGTTTTCTGCGCGGATATCCTTCAAAGAGCAACTTCTATCTTACAATTTTCACCATCACCAACCAACAAGACTACCCTGAGCAACTGGAAGATCATCTATTTATACCTATCAATAGTCTCTAGTCCAAAATGTCAGCCTGGGATCCTTCACGCCTCTATTCATCTGCGCTTTCATATATACGCCAACACCCAATTCTCTTTACATCTGCTGTTGCTGTCATTCCCCTAGCAGCTCTAATTATGCCTTCATATCGCGGCTATATCGACCTTGGCCCCGGTGGCCTCCCGCATAATGCCTTTGGCTGGCTTCTTCAAGAAACTCTACGCCCACTTAGTCTGAGCAGCACCATTGATCTGGGCGTCTTTCAAAAGCCTGGAGTTTCAGCTCCTTACGAACCACATGGCAACTCACGATTTCTCCAAGAACCGCTCCCGCAACGTCGAGGCAACCGGCCAACCATCCCCAATTACGTGGCGCCTCAGAGGCAGACTACAGAAACAGGCGATGCGTCTATAGTCACACGGATGAACAACCATCTAAGAGAATTATCCAGCCGCCACCCAGAGAAGCTCGCTGTGAAGGCGTCTGGCTTGGAGGCCAAAGAAAATCCCGCATTATTCTTGATTAGCAGCCCACTGCCAAAATACCTGGAGAAAAGTACAAAGGGCGAAATTGTTCACATACATGGAGAAGCAAGTTCTCACATGGTTCTCAGCCTAACTGACGCCAAGGAAGCAATGGCAAAGGGATGGGCCGAGTTGCATCCACTAAGTGGCGTGATGGGTCTCATTCCATTGCCGTATGTCATGATTTATGCGCCACGGGATGAGGACGAGTTTGGCCAGTGGGCAAGATTCGTGGACGCAGCTGTAGCATTTACTTCTGCGAGTCAGCAATAGCGGAAGAATGCAACACTCCAGGAGTGTAATGCGTAGAAGCGCATCGTATACGACCTGTCACATGTGGACTTTGCAATTAGCCGATATCACAATAAAGCTACTTGAAGCTGATTACACATTTTTAACTAACTGATTCGTATCACATCAAGCTATGCCGAAGTCAATGCGTGAAGGTGACACACTGCTGCAATTGTTCCTCTGGCCATCGCCGATTCCTCCTCTCTTCTCCGTTCACGAAGACGCGCCGCAGTTTTCTGGATCCACGCACAGTTGCAAGACAATATCTGCAGCGGTGTTTATTTCATGGCATCCCACGCCTGTTATAATATCGTTGATCGGCCCACATTGATCTTGGCCGTTTGCTGCAGGACTGCGCACAATCAACTGGTTCCCGTTTTCGAACAATGACGCGGGAGGCGACAACCACAGGCGATACGTCCCATCAGGCTGCTCTCCGCCTTCAATCTGGTCAAATGGATAGATGGGACAGTTGTTTGGGCCGAGGCTACCTTCGAATGGACCGAGAGATATGTCTACAGAAAAAGAACAGTCGGGTCCTAGATAGACTGCGACTTCTTCTTGGCCTTTGACTACCGTCATTATTGAGGCGAGAGCAAACAGAAGGGTTTTCAAGTTTGCCATTGTTCGCTGTGCTGCAGCTGTAGCTCTGAATGCGTTTGCGAAAGAGATGAATGCGAAGAAGCGGTGGATGGAATCGATGTATCGAAAGTGTCAAAGTCAGAATGACGGTTGTCCGCTTCATGAGCTGGCAGAAAGTCGCTTTATGTATTTGCATCAGCTGTTATTTAAACTGTTGCCATTTAATTATCTGTAATTCTGCTGTAGTTTATTCCTCATATAGTTACTGTTTTTAGATATCTGCAATTGCCTATTAGGGAAGCTGGTAATGCTTTCATGCCAATTAGTGAATCCTACCACTTGACATTTTGTGTCGGGAGCTTTCCGCCAAGTTATTATCCTGTTACTCCTTGACATACTGTAGTTTGTACAAAGATCTCGACGCTAGGTTGTCTTACCTTGCAATATAGGGCAGTTGGGTTAAACCGCCACGGCTCACTTCGGTGCAGCGTATGTGGAATCAGATCCGTTCGTCCCTGGCCAATCAGACTGGGCTTTTTTATGCTTCCGACAAAAGATAATCAACGTGACATGATATTCGTGAAGCAATTCGCAAGGAAGATACTAAGTAAGAGGGATCTATGTATATAGTGTCTCGCTTGCTCTGCTTATTAGATTACACCCCATGACTGGCTAAGCCTTATGTAGATCCCACAATGTCTCGTTTGACGGCACATTTACATTACTTTATCTACTCTTATATAGAATCAAGCGAAAGATATAAAAGTTGAATTTCTAAACGAGTGTAGTATAGGTACCTATTGTTTTCAATATGCTGGATGTAACGACATCGTAAAAGATTGTGCTTTAAAAGTCCTCGATACATTCGCATTCCAAACTTCACTCCAATCTTCTCACCAACTACCTACTAGCTCTTGTCATCCGTAAATGGGTTTACGTAGCCCACCCCGCGTTTGAGTGATGTCTTCCAGAGATAGTCTGCGCCAGACTTGCAAGACAGACTCATTGGACGTAGACGTCTTGGAAAACATCAGTGTTCTTGGGTAGCTGCTTAGGCTATTAAGAAGTTAGCCAAAAAATTTCATGTGGCGACTGATTTCATACCTTTCTTTTCATATTGAGACAAGTGCGCTGGGAAATCGGCAACGTCGACGTTCTTCCTGACCAGATCGACGAGTTGAGCGCTGATACTTGCAGGAACGTCATGATAAATATTGTACGAGCGGCCTTGGTATTTGAGCTCGTCAGGCTCTACAGAACCTGTGCAGACAGATAGCGACTCCGTAGATTCATCTCCCCGCGGAAGAATATTCCAACCTCCGCCACTAATAGTATCAGCATCGTTGACAACGCAAGACAAACAGGCGTTGTTTTCGGCAAAAGCGGTATCACAAGAAACGCCACATCTATTATCTCCTGATTGCGAGAATGCAATAGCAACGTTGCCGGCGTTTGGTACAGTACTAAGCCCAGCGACTTGCAAAGTGGGAAAGTCCGTAAAATCAGTGCTGGTACAGCAAATCCCAAGGTCAATGTCATTGCAAACAAGAACAGTTTCATTTGCAGGACAGTTATGGTCGTCATCGACAATGAATATAATCACGTTAACAGCTAAAGCTGCAGTAGTGAAAAGTAAAAGATTGTTAAGGAACAACATGATTGTGGCTATCTTTGAGTGACTTAAAAATGTATGAGTTGTGAGGATGAGTGTAGAACAATCAGGATATTTTAAAGAGGGTGATGCGGCCTATATATATTGTAAAACCCCTTCCTTTCAAAGTAAAAAACAGTCGTAAAGAGGTTGTTCCAAGTGTTCATGTCGTTTAGCAGTCAATTCAAAGACTTGGTTTACTTGATCAGGTAGTTTGTAAGAACCAAAACTGCACAGTCTAGTTAAATTACTACTTCAAGCTAGTTCTATATACTTGATTATGAGATATGACAATGGTAGCAAACCAGCAACTAATCGTTTTTATCTTGCGGGCGCAGAAGTCACTTGTATTCATCATATATCCCCCCGAGGACACCTCCGAGGACACCCATTTATACATGGCAATCACAAGCAAGTTTTGTTGTATCCCCTGTTGACCACTTATGATTGCTGTTTTTCATAAACTAGTAGCACGTATTAACAACAAATAATGGGACTGTTGGTATCATTGTTGAGTTCGCACAAAAAAAACTGGTGAGAGTTATTTGAATATAGAATACATTTGTTACATAGAGGACTATTGGTGGTATTTGGGTTACAATATATAACCGTATATATCACACTATGTAACAGCAAATGAAAGCATTTTCTATATCCAATCTCCTTTGGTCAGTAGTTTAATATAGTAAATATACTTATACTCAATAGGTATAGGCTATATTAAGCAAAGTTAAGTATTACAAAACAAAGCGCAGCGGAAACAAGTCGGAGTTAAAAAGAACGATGTTTGACTTAGCTCCTCGGCCCCTCGGGTAATAACAATATTACCCATCTCTTACTCAAAGGATGTCGGGGGGTTGTCGAGGGGCTGTCTAGCAGGCGCAATGTAACCCCTCTCTGCTAGAAAGCAAGGCGGGAGTATAGCAGGCCACCTACGACCAGATCAATCCACCGAGTAAGCCCTTATGCACACAGTTGATTTCTTGTTCTTTTGTTTAATAATCTTGGTAACAAATTTCATCTCTTCTGTTTTTCTAATGTCCGTTCAGGTCTTAACAATTCTAATTAACATTCCTGAAAAACCTATCACATTCTTTGACACCAACTTTTTCCTTGGCTACTATCTTACATTAGCTATTACACACTAATACTACATATATCAGTCTACCTATTTGGTAGGAAATCAGATTTGCGCTTTGTTCCTACATAATCAAAACACCATCGATACCTTTGCCAAGGAGACTCAGAGGACAAAATTCATTAAACCTAGCTGATACTCTGTTAAGTGACTGCTTGGGACTCTCTCTCATTTGGAATCATATAGGCATTTGTCCAAAGTGCAATATATGAACTCTATATTTTACACCGTGTTGACATGAATATGTCAGGAATGCGGGGGTTTGGTACAAGTACAGTCGCCTATATCAGATAACATAAATCATCTGAAAATAATTATATGAGCTATCTGTTGAATCGAAAAACATGACTCGTAACTTACAGTGATATGCTTACGGCTCTACGGACGCAACAGATACGCGGGCGTTGATAGAATCAAGTGGCAGCACATAGCATGCAGCCGGGCGAATAGCAGAGAACCACGTACAAACTACTAGGTAAGTAACCTGCTTTCATCACAATTAATTAATAATACTTAGTGATATAGTTCATTTCCTTTGACCAAAACTCAGGTGCTTAGAATCGGAGTCTTGATGGGATTAGGAAAAGTCTGCTTCACTAGGTATTTATACACCCGCACTGACCTGATTTCATCTGTTGTTCTTTCGCAGACATCAACGAAACCCCAATCACTTACACAAGCACTCAAAGATACTACATCTTTTACTAGTTTTCAGAAGCAATATTGAGAAAACCATCTTTAAAGCCAATATGTCGTCAAACATTCGGACTTTTGCTTGGAGCTCTTTGCTCTCTTTGGCCCTTGCTCAAACAGCAACTCTCCAGTTTTTCAATCAAGATACTGCCTGTGCATCGGGGCTTTTTGCCCAATGCACCGGTCTCCCTCCCAATGACTGCTGCTTCATAGGAGGTCTCGCTACCTGCGTGAATTGGCAAGCAGACAATGGCGCGAATGGCGTCGCGAGTTGGTTCTTGGCTAATAATCAAAACCAATGCGGCCTTATTATTATATCAGCAGACAACAATGTATGTGTTTGCCCAGATGGCGATCCTATTGTATCCGCGGGCAACTGGGCTTTGGCAGGGCGGGCGATTAGTGAGAATGAAGACTGTAACCCGGTGGGCCCTGATGTTTTTGGGTGGAAGGAGGAGAATGGAGCAACATGGCTGTTGCATCAGGAAGACAATACTGCGGTCTTTGACCAAGTTACCGAGGCTATAGCCAAAAACTCCACCGACCAACACATTAGTGACTTGATCAAGGAGCATGGAGTGAAAAACTGAGTGGTCATGACCAAACTATGAACAACTTAGGGTCATATAGAGTTGTCATCTCTTTATGTATGCTCTTACACTTTGGCTTACCTAGATAGATACTTCAAGTGGAGATTCCATGGCGTGTTTCTCCATGATTCAAAATGATACGTATTTATTAGTTATTATATGGTCAAGAGGTCTTCAATATGAGCTTCCAACGAACGTTCCATCCGCCAATACATTGTTGACTTTGATCTCTATCCATGGTCCCTGAACATATGTATTAAGGACCTGTTTGTACGTAAAGCAGCTGGGACGGAGAGCAAAGAGCTTTCAAATGTAGCTTACGTTTTCGCCATTCCTCTTGTTGCAGTGTGTGATAGCAGTGAATACAGTACAAAAAAAAGCTAAATGTCATACTGTCAGACTTCAGCCTTCTTGCAAATGGAACAAGAAAAATTCATTTGATACATCGCCCCATTTCATGTTTGAGGCTATCAATCAATTGAAACAGCTACTTATTTCCTTTTTGCAACGCATAGATAGCTGCATATCACTCAGGTCGTCACGTTATACTCTTAGCCGCCATGTTGATCCTACTACCTAGTATGCGACCCGTGGAGCCCTCAGCTGCTAAAATAGCCTACAGCAGCAGGTGGGGCGCTATATCTGCGCCTGTACGGCTTATCGATTGCCTGGTGGGGGACGACGGATGACTGAATCTCAAAAATTATTTCCAGCCTCATCCGAACCAGTCTCTAGTCACTATCCGAAGCTCAATCGCAAACCTACGGCCGCCCCTTCCGCCAGTTTCCGGGGTCTTCAGCATCGAGTAGAGATCATGTCTTCATAGTCCACACAGCGCAAATCGAACTTCTCCCCGCAGAGGAATTCCAGCCTAAAAAAAGGGACAGCATGGCGCACGCCGCGTTTGTGAGCTCCACCAAGGAGCAGCTCACTGATAATCTCCCCAAGCGCTTCAAGGGGATCAAGTTTGGCATCCAGTGCGTTGTGCTCTGCGCAGATGATTAATGCTATCCTATTCTAACAGCGGCTCTTGTGCAGGTCCAACCAAGACATCGTCAACCAGGGAGTGCTGGAGGTTTCCCAGCGCATGCTCTACGACATCGACAACAACCGATCTCCCCTCACCAATGGAGCTCTTGATCTGCGAATGGTGAGTGCATGGCCGGTTATAATATTCCGCTATCGAAACTGTATTGAACAGCAGTGATATTGCCATATCAAATCAGCATGCGACAACCTACTGACCTTTCTTCGCTCTAGGGAACGTCGAGCAAGTCGGGAAAATGCGGCACCTGTCAAGAGCCTCTCAAGTTCTGTATCGGTCACTTTGGCCACGTTCGACTAGCACTTCCTGCTTTCCACATTGGCTACCTACGGTTTATCCAGACGATCCTCCAGAATGTCTGCAAAACTTGCGCCAGAGTACTCCTTACCGAAGAAGAGCGACGAAGCTTCCTCCACGACCTGCGTCGACCTGGATTGGATAACATCCGCCGAACTGCAGTCTACAAAAGAATCAACGAGCAGTGCAGGAAATGTAGGACATGTCCGTATTGTGGCGAGATCAACGGCCAGATTCGAAAGGTCGGAGTCCTCAAGCTCACGCACGACAAGTTCTCGGCATACAAGAAGTCGACGTCCCAGAAGAAGATGCCTCCGGAGAGCAAAATTGCGTTTGATGCCTCATTTGACGAAGCCAAGAAGTTGAACCCCGATCTGGACAAGCATCTTGTGAGGGCCATGGAGGACCTGAATCCTCTCTGGGTGCTCAATCACTTCAAAATGATTGGCCCCACAGACTGCGAGCTGCTTGGACTGGATCCAACCGAGGGCCGTCCCGAGATGTTCATCTGGCAGTTTATCCCTGCTCCTCCTGTGTGCATCAGACCGTCAGTTGCACAGGAAGGCGCCAGTACAGAAGACGATCTCACCGCAAAGCTGGCCGAGATTGTTTACATAAGCGGATTGATTCGAACGGCGCTGAACAAGGGAAAGCCCATGCAGACCATCATGGAACAGTGGGAATATATGCAGCTGCAGATTGCAATGTACGTTAACAGTGATGTCCCTGGACTTAATCAGCCGGGCTTCGGAAAGAGCATCAGAGGCTTCTGCCAGCGTCTCAAAGGCAAGCAGGGACGGTTTCGAGGAAACCTGTCTGGAAAGCGAGTCGACTTTTCGGGCCGGACAGTCATTTCGCCAGATCCTAATTTGGCTATCAATCAAGTCGCCGTTCCACAGCTTGTCGCCAAGAACCTGACATTCCCTGAGCGAGTTCAGAGCCACAATTTGGAAAAGCTGAGACAGTGTATCTTGAACGGGCCAAAAGTCCATCCAGGAGCAAATCACGTTATCAAAGACAGCGGAAATTGGAAACAGGATCTGCAGTTTGGTGACAGGGCCCTTGTTGCCCGAGATCTTCGGATAGGTGATGTCGTCGAACGGCATCTTGAGGATGGAGACATTGTTCTCTTCAACCGACAGCCTTCTCTGCACAAGCTCAGTATCATGAGCCATTTTGCAAAGATTAGACCCTGGAGAACATTCCGTCTCAACGAATGTGTGTGTGGTCCTTATAACGCCGATTTTGATGGAGACGAGATGAATTTACACGTTCCACAATCTGAAGAGGCTCGTGCCGAGGCCATGACTCTTATGGGCGTCAAGCACAACCTGGCTACTCCTAAAAACGGAGAACCCATCATTGCTGCTACGCAGGACTTTATCACCGCTTCATATCTGCTCAGTAGCAAGGATAGGTTTTATAACAGAAAGGCCTTTACCTATATCTGCACGCATATGATGGACGGTGTAGTCAACATTGATCTCCCCCCGCCGTCGATTATCAAGCCGGAAGCCCTTTGGACAGGAAAGCAGATTTTCAACGTGCTTATGCGCCCGAATAAGCAATCACCAGTACTTGTGAACTTGGATGCACGATGCAGAGAATACTCGGCTAGGCCTGGACAATGCCCGGATATGGATCCCAACGATGCTTGGCTGGTCATCCGAAACTCAGAAGTCATGTGCGGTCGCATGGACAAGTCCATTATTGGATCTGGCAAGAAGAACTCGGTGTTTTACATCATCCTCAGAGATTTTGGTCCCGATCACGCCGTTGCTGCCATGAACAGACTGACCAAGCTTTGCGCCAGAGCGCTAGGAAATCAAGGCTTTTCACTCGGTGTGGGCGACGTCTTCCCCATCACCGAGTTGACAAAATCCAGAGACAGGCTTGTCCAGGATGCTTACGATAAGAGTGACGCGCTTATCGAGACTTTCAAGGCTGGAAAGCTGGAAAAGGCTCCCGGATGTGACATGGAACAGACTTTGGAAATTTCCATTTCTGGTATTCTTAGCAAGGTTCGACAGCAGGCTGGTCAGCAATGTGTAGACACCCTGAGCCGTAACAATGCTCCTCTTATCATGGCCAACTCTGGTTCCAAGGGTCTGCACATCAACGTCGCTCAGATGGTTGCCTGTGTCGGACAGCAGATTATTGGCGGTCAGCGTGTGCCCGATGGTTTCCAGGACCGCAGTTTGCCCCATTTCCACAAGAATGCCCGTCAGCCGGCGTCAAAAGGTTTCGTACGAAACAGCTTCTACTCGGGTCTGTTCCCAACCGAGTTCTTCTTCCACGCCATCTCAGGTCGAGAAGGTCTGATTGATACTGCCGTTAAGACTGCCGAAACAGGATACATGTCCAGACGATTGATGAAGTCTCTAGAGGATCTTTCCACTCAGTACGATAACACTGTCAGGACATCGGCAGGAGGCATTGTGCAATTCCAATTTGGTGCCGACAAGCTGGACCCTGTTGACATGGAGGGTTCCGCAGTGCCTGTGGCGTTTGACCGCACGTGGACTCACTCAGAGAGCACCACCTGGGATAACAACGAGAGATCTTTGCTTCCACGAGAAGTGCTTGCAGTATGCAGTAGCATGCTAGAAAAGGAAAAGCAGCGTTACCAGAGACACCGCTTGGTGGACAATGCACTACTTGACTACTCTGATCCCACCGACGAAAACATTGACGAGCACGAAAGCGCTCGAGGCTTCATTGAGACCATCTACTCTTATGTCTCCGATCGAGCACAAAAGATATCCAAAGCTCGTGCATTGGTCGGACTGGATCCCGACCCAAGCCAGGAGGATATCATCGCTGATGCTTCAGCAGAACTCAAGGTACAGCTCGCCCGAGTGGAGCGAGTTACCAAAGTATCTCTGACGACGCTCCAAAGATTCGTCAAGGAGTGCTTAGAGAGATATCACAAGGCCCACGTCGAGCCAGGCCATGCCGTTGGTGCTGTTGGAGCGCAGTCCATTGGTGAGCCGGGTACGCAGATGACGCTCAAGACATTCCATTTTGCCGGTGTCGCTGGTATGAGTATCACTCAGGGTGTGCCGCGTATCAAGGAAATCATCAACGCGTCCAAGAACATCAGTACTCCAGTCATTACATGCCCTCTATTAAACGACAAACAAATTGAGGCCGCTCGCATAGTCAAGGGGCGAATCGAAAAGACTTTCGTGATCGATGTACTAAAGGCAATTGAGGACGAATGGGTTTCTGATCGTGGAACCGTCATTCTGTACATTGACATGGAGGCGCTGCAAAGCATGCACCTTGGCATTGGCGTTGTTGATATTGCAGAGGCCATCTTGAGATTCAAGAAGCTCAAGATTCAGCCATCCGATATATCAATTGGCCCCAACTACATCAAGATCTTTGTGCTCAACAGCTGGGTGGATCCCGACGCGGCCAAGAAGAGGCAGCGCAGTGGCGCATCTCTTACCATGACGGAGGAGACTTCTGACTTCCTCTTGCGCGTCAACCACCTCCGCCGTACACTTCCCAAGATCCCCATCTCGGGATACAATGAAGCTACAAGAGCCATCATCCAAACATCTGAGCAGAGCGAGCACATGGTGCTGGTTGAGGGATATGGGCTGCGCGCTTGCATGACTACCGAAGGTGTCATTGGCACAAAGGCAAGCTCCAACTCCGTCATGGAAGCCCGTGATGTCTTGGGTATCGAGGCTGCCCGAACCACCATTGTCGTCGAAATTTCCGCAGTCATGGCAGGCATGGACATTGATCCCCGTCATATCCAGCTGCTGGCCGACGTCATGACGTTCAAGGGCGAAGTCCTTGGCATCACGCGTTTTGGCTTGTCCAAAATGCGAGAGAGTGTCCTGCAGCTGGCGTCGTTCGAAAAGACGCCCGACCATCTCTTTGATGCGGCTGCCAAGATGAAGACTGATCGCATTGAGGGTGTTTCCGAGTGTATCATCATGGGACAGACGATGAGCGTCGGCACGGGCTCGTTCCAAGTCGTGAGGAGACTGAATATTCAGGACTGGGAGGTTGAGCCGAAGAAGACGCTCTTTGAGGATGCGTGGGCGGAGAATTTGAAGGCGAAGAAGGAGCTGCGAAGGATAAAGGTATAGGAACTTGGGTGGATATGAATTCAGCTTGAGAGAAATGTTTGCTGCTAATGAGCTTTTTCAATATCGGGCTAAAAGGGCTTTAAAAGACAATGAAATATCGTCTCCATCTAGCTAGCTATGACTTGATCAAATTTTGTATATAATAGAGCAAGTCGCATGCCATATCTAGGATACTCTGGCAAGCCAAAAAAGAATCATTTAGTATATTCATGAATAACTATAGTTAAGCTCAATCAAAAGTTTGCACTCTCACTGTGGCGTGTATAAACTTGTTTCAACCATTAGAAGAGCAAATGTTAGATATATTGCTATTAGCACTCTAACATAGAATGTGTAGAATAAAGAGGGCAGCACTTAATTAGATTTCATCTCGAGCAAGAGTATTTGCAGCAAATTAAAGGTATTCATTCGAATTATACTTCTTTTTAAACCATTGTCATATGACCATTCTTGCATTTAGTATTGTGTTTCCCCCCTTTAAGCTCCTAAAAACGCCAGTCTCCCTCAGACGAATCTTGGGCCTTCTCCCTGAAATTAAAAAAAAAAAACATATGTATAGAAAATGCACTCCCAAGCCGGCACATAACATAACGCAGTCGATTAGTTCTGAGTTGATGCCATAATGTGTGATGCGTTGTACGGGTTGAAAAAAGTCAATAGGCTCTCTAAGCCGCCTTCTTCTTCTTCTGCGTCATTCTCCGGAAAGCTTCCATTCCTCCAGCACCGAGGGGTCGGTGGTTTTGGCTCTTGTTGCCATCGAATGTGCTCACAGGAGCAATTGTGTAGCTTGCAGGGAGGTTGACCATACGAGCCTGGTTGCCGCCACGGACAGGGGCAAGGAATCGTTCACGCTCAGCATCTGCAGCAGACTGTGCGGGCCGCTCAGAGAGAGTGAACTGAGAGCCTTGTTTGCGGCGTTGGGCCATTTTGGCAGCTCTGAATCATCCATCGTGTTAGCCAACAGTCATATAGGGAGAAAATAACATGTGGTAAAATAGGGGTAGTGACAGATACGTACTCATAATCAAACTCGCGAGTCTCGATATGGCGTTTCTTGTAATCATCAGTCCGCTTGAGAATCGGACGGCTCCATTCTCCCAGCAGCCTCTCGGCCATTCGCTTGATGCTAGGCTCGGGTTTCTTGCTCCTCGTATAGAAGAGCACCACCTTGCCGATGCCACTGCTTAGCAGAGTCTCCTTTTCGATATTCAGACGCGTCAGAGCGGTGAAGATGTCTCGCTGGATGTTGTAGGCCGGCAGTGAGCCGTCGTTGAGCGGCTCCAGGAAGAACTTGACGTGCTGTAGGAAGTTGGTATCCGGATCGAGCACCGCATGTTGGACGTTGTTGCGATTCAGAATGCCAGCGACTTCGGGGAGCAGCTTCAGCTTGTGCAGGGCAGGCTGTCCAGATTCACGAGCGCTGTTGTCTGCCTGACAAGCACGCTCCATCTGAACCTTGAGTGCAGCCAGCTGTTCGTCAATCTCGTCTTCGAGATCCTAGTGGGTGAAAATTAGCGTCTACAGCTACATCGACCTCCTTCTCAAAATGCGACAAAGACGTACAATTTCATCCTTTCTCCGGCGCTTGGGAGCCGCTCCACGGGTCTTTAGCGCCGCATCCAGACGTCGGTCGATTTCTCGATTCGCCCGCTGCTCTTCGGTGAGGTTCTCGTCGTTTGCTCCGTCGTCCTGGGGCGATGTCGGCTTGGCTCGGGGGCGCCTCTCGGCCTCTGCTCGCTTCCTCCTCGGCTTCTTTTCAGCCTCGCCGCTGGAGACATCCTGCATGGACGCATCCTCCTCTCGGTCCCGTCGCTTCTCGCGGCGAGTCCCTCGCGGCTTCTTGGCTGCCTTTTCTCCTTCCGCTCGCGTGCGCTTGCTAGCCTTTAGCGTACGGGCAATGTCCTCGTCAATCTCGACAGGTCGATCCTCGATGTTTGCGGTCTCGGGGTCATAATCTTCAAATTGATTCTCGTCGATTTCGGACAGGAGGTCGGACTCGCGGTCGGAGTCTGCGTCGGCGACCTCATCCAGGAATTCTTGTTCCTGGCCATCGTCGACGGGCGAACCCTGGTCAGACATGATGGAAGCTGAAATTTGGTGTACAAGGACGATGGCGCAGCTGGAAGTGAAATGTGTGGGGATGAATCTGGAATTCTGCTAATGGCAATTTACTTCTTTTTGCGGCAGCAACAACTGAAAGTTAGGCTGCGAATGATAGAGGAGTGAAACAATCTTCAGATCGGAGAAAAGGTCCATTCCTGCGGTTGCCTTTGAGACGCAGCCACCGCGTTGCTGACATAAGCAGTTGACTGCGAATTTGGGTTTAAACGGCCTCAGGCAACAACGCCGCTGGTCTTTTTTTCTGGTTTGTTTACTTGGCGCAAGCACTAAGAGCCGGTTGCCACTGTGACGATATGCCGATAGATTGTGGATAAGCAAAAGAGCTCGAGGTGACTAAAAGAAGCCCATGCCCACCCTTGACAGCGCGGATCGGCTTATCTGTGCATGAATGTGACAGCACAGCGGAAGTTTGCACTTTGATCCAGACGATGCGATTACGACTCGCTCGTCTGAAGTCGCAGAAACACGCAGAAATACGCCATCGCCATCGCCATCGCCACCGCCATAACTATCGCCCTTACCAGCTATAACGCTGTAACAAAAAGACATCCGCGGCCATGGAGCGCCGCACGTTTGAGGCTCCCATGGAGTGGGAATACCAGAACACGGGGCCTATCGATCTGACGAGCCCATTTGCGCAGGTGGCCAAGAAGCGATCAGACAATTGTTAGTACCCCTTGCTCTGTTGGCTCGAGTATCGTATAGCTGTTGCGACCATGACGATCATGATATGATTATAGCTAACATGAATCAAACGTGCAGTATTTAGCAGTTCGTCGCCCGTCAAGTCAGCTGCTGCGAGCGGCTCGTTGTCAGCCTTTGGAACGCCGTCATCGAAGCCGCCCACGAAATCCTTCTTCACCCCCCAGCTCGCTCCCAAGGTCGTTGCGCCGCCGTTCCGAAACCCAGCATTCACCACGCCGAGAAAGATGGACGAGTCCTTCTCCTCCTTTACCACCGTCGCCGAAGATAGCCCAGACGTAGCCGAAGCTTCAGCAGCTTCAGCGCTTTCAGTACTGCCCAACGACACTTTTGAATCAGAGAACTCGAGCGATGTGACGACCAGCACCATCACGACACCCACCAAGATCGACAAGGCCTCTCGCTACAACAGGGGGTCGCCTCGAAAGTATGCAGCCGGCAGAGGGGAGATTCGGCCAGCCAGCAGAGAGTCCCCTCGTAAGGACATGCAGGTGCTAAGGAAGAGGAAGCGCCATAACCACGACAAGGATGTTAGCAGCGTGATCCGACACATGCCACCGGATTGGGAGGGGGATGCCTCGGACGCAGAAACGAGCGTGGCGTCGTATGGAGGCATGCCATTGGGCGCAAATGCGCCGCTGCCTCATCCATCATCATCACAGCAGCGCCAACAGCAGCAGCATGGCCCGAAACGCGAGAGCTGGTTTGTCTCTGCGCTGGGCACAATGGACCGATATCCAGGAGCTCCCGACCACATCTATCGATGGCTGCAGCTGGGGCTCAACTGCTTCATTATTGGTGTTGTTCTGTTCTTTGGCTGGAGCGTTGTTGACGCAGTTCGATCAGACATCCGCAACGCCAACGAGATGGCGCGGATGGAAATCATGAGCCGGATCTCAGAGTGCCAGAACCACTACATCAGCAACGGGTGCACCAAGAATGACCGGCCAGCGTTGATTGAACTGTGTGCCGAGTGGTACGACTGCATGACGCAGGATTCAGACGCCATTATGCGCGTCAAAGTCACAATCAAACAGGTGGCCGATGTCATTAACGAGTTTGCGGATGCAATGAATCTCAAGGCCTGGGTAAGCATGAATCAAAGTCAAGTCAATACTATATACCCTCTTGCTAACTGATTATACCAGCTCTTGTTTGGCGCCATTGCCATCTTCGTCATCTTTGCCAACATCATGATTGGATGGGGACGATCCAAGATCCAGCCAGGACCAGCACATCCGCCCGCCTACTCTCACGGTCCTGTAATGGGATCAGATATCACACCGGCGCAATTCAGACAGCGCTTTGAGACTCCCGGGACACATTTTGAGACCCCTGGGACTCACTTTACTACTCCCAGGTCACAGCGATATGCATTCATAGAAGAAGACACCGATTTTGACATGTCAACTCCCAAGGCTCTAGGGCCAGGTTTTAGGTATACACCGGTAGGGCGTCGCAGCCCCGTCAAAGGGGACTGGGCGGCAAGTTCAATGAGTTACCACCGGAGCCCCCAACGGGGATATTAGAAGACGAAAAACAAATTGACGAATGGGTATTTGCATTTTGGTTAGTGTACACTAAGGAAAATTGGTAACTTGCATGTTTCATGGTATGGAATGGACGGAATGGAAATGTCTTTTATGCGGCGTTGGTAGGAGAGGTGTGGACAGTTATGGGGTATTCGGCATTAGGGCGGCACATCTGGTCTACGGCAAAAACAGCTTGAATGAATTATTAGTGAACACTTGGTAGGAATTGTCATTCACAGCGTGTGATGCGCTAGCAATACACTGAGGTATACGAGCGATCTTTTTTGTTTCCCGTTTATACAATTTTAGGGAAAACAACTTGCTCTCGCTCTTTGCAACTAGGCCAAGTAGAATAAATGGTTTATTCCCGAGATGAAAGCTATAATGAGAGTAAGTATTTGGCTATACTAATAATTATAGGAGTTATCGGACACTGAGATCGCTAATGTCCTAAAGAGGAAGCTTTTTACAGTAGCCCCAGTACAATCGCTCGCGTTGGCGCTACTCGGCAGTACGCAGCGGCAACCTCCATGGCACCACCGGCTAGGGCCAACACGCGGCTGATATCAGGTACCAGTTGGTAGAGCGCGGTTCCCGATGACCTCATTGAACCATCATGGCCACAGCGAGCATGAGTAAATCTAACACAATTGCTGGCCACTTTTCGAACTAGTTTTTCCAGTAGTAACTACTAAATTTTAATACGTAATTTAAAGAGCTTACGATAAGAGAATTGGAAGCCTGAAGCTGAAATCTGCACACCGAGAAAGAGATTTAAAAAAAAAAAAAAAAAAAAAAAAGAACAAAAAGCAAAGCAAACCAATTTAATATCCCGTCTTGCGCATCGACTGACTGGGCTCTCCACTATAATTTGGGGGCCGCTGCAACAGCACTTTCGGCTAAGCTCCCACGCGCGCTGCAGCGAGGCCTATCACAGCGCCAAGTCCAGGGCTCTATCGCCTGCATGAGCTCCTGTAATATTGATTTTCTGGACAAGGCTACCAATCGCAGCGAGACATGTAGCACTGCAGTTTATCTCTGTACGCGGAAATGCGGCCGCGATCCAATCGAGGGCATCGCCTCCAGGCCTTTCTCTTTTTTTCCTTTTGAATCCTTCTGTTTCACAATAAATTACTATTTCAGGTAGAAATACTGGCATTCATTCTGATTTCGGGCATCTATCTGCCTGTTTGCGTTCAGCCACCATCAGCTCTAAGCTTTTGGCTGACGGCACGACAGCAGCTGCTTTTTTTGTCAGGCGATTCTCGGTTTGATACCCATGGACATATCGGCTGAAGTCGCTGTATCAGGCCCCCGAGTTTTAGTGGGCGAATAGCGCCAACGGCTAGCCAGCCTACAGCTCTAGCGGCTGAGTCTGACGTGCTGCGAGCCCACTGGAGCTGGTGCCGGCCCCGCCATTTGGCGATGCTCTACAGCAGCTTTCCGTCACTACCACCGCAATTTGGACAGTCCATAGTATCAAATTCATGGTAGCCTGACCTTGTCTCCTCCAACCTCGATCCATAATTTTCTTCCTCTTCTCTTCTCCCTTCAGCCTCGAGACCTCTTTCCCACCGATGCCTCCGCCACCTCGGCTTCGTCCCCGACATTAAAGCCGTCTCTTGTCGCGATTCAGACCTCCGATCATCCCTTCTCAGCTCCCTCCCTGCATTGCCAGGCCCGTGGAGCTCCCCCCCGCAGCATGTCTTTCATCCCACGAGGCTGCAGCTACCGCAACTCAAGCCTTGGAACCGCGCTGGTTCCCCATCGCTGAAATAGCAGCCGCCTCCTGTCCTGTTCCATCCTTTGCCCAAGCCGGGGGGGACTCGATTCGATTCTGCGTCTTCTCGCGCGCGCGTCTGGGCATTTCCCAGTCAGAAGCGACTCGGCAGCCTCGTGTCGATGGAGGAGGATTTGGGCACGCCTTCGGGCCAGAGCCAGCCCAGCACCAGCGCGGGCACTGGGAGCGGCACAACGCCGCAGTCGCAGGGCCCTCCAGCGTCGAGTGCGCTGCTGCAGCTGTCGAAGCGCAGGCGAGGCTTGGGGGTTGTGACTCCCAATGCCTGCACGGAATGTCGCAAGAAGCGTGCCAAGGTGAGCTCGTTGTGTTGGATGCAGCCTCTCCCGCAGCCTTGTGAACCGAGCTTGGGAGACACTTCTTTTCCTTCGCTCACTGTTCTTTTTACATGACTGTGGAAGAGATTGGGCTGCACAAGTTCAAGGAACAATCAGTGTGCTAACGCGTTTTCATAGTGTGACGGACAGAAACCTTGCGGCCGTTGCAAGGTCCAGAAGGACGTGGAATGCGTCTACGAGATACCCGTGCGCCAGTCAAAAGAACACCTGCGCAATGAAATCGAAAATCTGCGCCTGCGGCAGCGGTCCAGCGAACAGGTCTTTGCCGCTCTGATACGGCCGCAGCTATGGGAGGAAGTGCTGGCGCGTCTTCGCGGCGGCCAGAGTGTGGAGAGCATCTCCGACTGGCTTACAGGTCTTCCACCGGGCGGACCAACTCCAAGCTCAGTATATGCGCACGCCGGCCCTCATATGGGCGGTGTTGCCGGTGGCAGCCATGAAATGTCTTCGTTGCAGCCTTTTGGCGATGCTTCCGGCGCTTCTTTGCAGTCAATAACCCTGGCGGTCAGTGCTCGAGGCGGATCGCTGCAGATGCCTGGTTTGAGCGGCGAGCTGGGAGGAGCCCCAGCCAGTCCCTGGCACTTTTCGTCGCAAAGCCAGGCCACCTCTACCAGGAGCGGCTCTCATCCAGATCTGATGAACTGGGCTGCCGAGCCCGGGCCGCCACAGACACGAGTCGGCTCTTGGGCCGAGACGATGCAGGCTGACAACCTACCCGATGGCATCCAGCGGTTCCGGGGGCTCGAGCAGGTACTATCGCCGCTTGATGAGCCGAAGCCTCCGCCGGGGTCCTGGACCAGCATCACCAACGATGTGAACTTGGTCCAGCATTTGCTGGCGCTGTACTTTTGCTGGGAATACCCAACCTTTGCGTCCCTCAGCAAGGAACACTTTCTCCGCGATTTCCAGGACGGAAGACACCGATACTGCTCGCCAATCTTGGTCAATGCGTTGCTGGCCCTTGGCTGTCGATTCTCCACACAGCCCATGACCAGAGCCAACCCCAATGACCCATACTCTTCTGGGGACCACTTCTTCAAGGAGAGCCAACGGCTCTTCAACGAGGAAATCGACCATCACTCCTTGACAACCATCCAGGCCCTGGGTATCATGTCGATTCGCGAAGCGAGCTGCGGCCGTGACTCTGAGAGCTGGTACTATGCTGGCCAAAGCATACGGCTGGCTCTTGAGATGGGCCTGCACCGCATTCATGACGAAGACGACGAAGACGAGCTTGCTGTTCAGGCTGCGACCTTTTGGGGGGCCTTTGCATTGGATCAGTGAGTCTAATAATCTAACACCTTTCCTATATATTTTCTAGGAGCTTGAACAGGCTCCGATTTGAGAGAGAAATCACAAATGATAATATGACAAATGACAATATCTAACCTGCTGCTCCCTCCAGTGCATGGTCCCTGGCCACTGGTTCGCTGCCGCAGTGCTCCTCCTTCCCTCATCTACCGCCCAAACCCGCCATCATCGACGACATTGAAGCGTCTCTATGGGTACCGTATACCGACGACGGTGAGGACCGAACGACTACTTTTGGGGTTGATTTACAAGGGCTGCCTACTAACAAATCCGAAGGCGCCCCACTACAGCGGTCGTGCGAGCAGCCGTCCAACGTGCGGTCAGTATACAAGTGCTTTTGCGAGCTGAGTGAGCTCGTCCACCAGTCCCTCTACGTCCTCCATTCCCCAGGAAGGCCCCTTACTGCCCGGGACCTCTTGAACATTTATACGCAGTACCTGAACTGGTACGACCGGATACCCGAAGTGTTGAGGCTGGGGCATAACTTTACCCCGGCCGTCTTATTTGCGCAGTGAGTACAACATATCGAGTTTGGGATTTTTTCCCCTTTCTCCCTCCTCTCTCTTGTCTCCGTCACAGTTTCTATCTCTCCCTCTTTTTTTTTCCCCCTTCCTAAACCTCCATTTTGTCCTTTTACAAGTTGTCGATGCTAACGTGATGATGAAATGAAAAGCATGTACTACCACTTTGCCATACTCCTTCTTTTCAGACCCTTGATCAAGCTACGCATCATTGGATCCAAGGTGTCGCCTCGAGACGTCTGCTCGCAAGCTGCCGACGCCATTCAAGGCTTATTAACATCATATTCTCAACTATATACACTAAAGAGAACGCCATCTTTTGTCCCATACTTTGTTTTGACATCCGCTATTATGCACCTTGCCATAGGCGCTACCGGAGTCGACGCCGACGAGGCCGCAACAAATGAAGAGAGGATGAAAAAGGCGGCCAAGATCAATCCGCGCGTGAAGGATGCCCTCAACCAGGGCATCGCGGATCTCACAGAGATGGCGCCGTGTCATCACTTTGCCGAGCAGGCGCTGAACATTCTACGCTTCCTAGCAAAAAAATGGAATATCGAGGTCAATGTTGACGGTGACAAAATGCCGCCAGAGGACGCCGACAACTTGGTTAGGCCCTACACGAGCAGCCTCAACTTTTTCGCACCCAATGTTCGAGAGGGCGATTACATGTGCGGCTTTGGGCCCACCCCAGAGATTGTGGAAACGTTGCGGGCGGCTGACACGAAGAGGGCGGCAGAGACAGCAGAGAATCCGCTCTTTTGGCCTTTTCCAATGCAGGGAAGACCGATGCTGCCTATGGGGCAAGAGTTGGAGGATGCAGGGTTTGCCAAATTGTAGCGATGCCTTGGGGGCTCTTTTTGCCTCCCTTTACCCGATACCATTCTAACTTTTTCTTTTTTCCCTCCATGAGCCATTGAACTGTTGGAAATACATATTGGGCCATACATGACGGGTAGGATATCAGGGTGTCTACGTAAACGAGTGATGCGCCTCACGGACGCGGAAGGGCTAGAATAGCATTCTTGGATAATTTTGTAATTAATTCGGCCGTGGAATTTTGTATATAAGGAAATTAGGTGAACTATGGCCTGTTGATATTCTACTTGTTTGATTTTGTAGTGTAAAAATCGTGAGTAGATTGGAAACTTTTGTGCACGGCAATATCCCTCCAGAGGTAGGCCTTGATGCCAGCAATATTTGCCATGACACATTAGGTATGTATTGATTTATTTTTTTGTTTCTCTTATTGCAATACCTATTCAATAGTAAATTTGATTATTCAGTTTCATTAAACAAGTTGGTCTTGAATTATTGTTTTTCCTTATAATCGGAATGTTCGTAGCCAAATGCAGGGTAGGAAAGCCGGCGTTGCGCAGCCACAGCCGGCCGCGGCATGCGCCACAAAGGGGCGTTACCTCGGCTTCCACTGAAAGCGTCATTCTCAATCTCTCGTGCCGCAGCAGCTGAAATCCGAGCTTTGACAACAACGACGACAAAAAACAACAAAACCGCTGTCGCCATCGCCATCGCCATCTCGACATGGTGCCTGGCCATATCTCGCAGGCACAATAGGCGACGCGCGATACATTTACAGCGAGATTGACAACAAATCCTTCGCGGAAAGGGCGCGAAATACGGGAGATACGACCAGATATTGAGGAGAGGAGACGGCAGAGAGGCGCAAATTACGAGCGGAAAGACGAGCGTCGGGCAGCAGATGCAATGGCGTCGAATCCAACGAAGCCGGCGACGAATCGGCCGCAGCGGCGCGTGACGGCTGGCCAGATTCTGTCGATGCCGCCGAAATGGCTGAGCATGTACGACGACTTCATCACCAAGAATGCGGGCCAGGTGTCGCAAATTGAGAGCGCGCTGAGGAGCCTGACATATATCATTCCCGGTTGGTGGCCCCAATCTTCACTTTTGTGTGTGCATACAACAAGAACGCGAGCTAACCGCTGAAATTCAAACACGCCAGGCCGCTTCCGCGATGCCGAGATTGCATCCGAGTCCATCCACTCGGGCGTCCAGCTGCTGTCGCTCTACCACGACGGCATCCTCTCTCAGGCCGTCTCGAAGCTGCCGACGCCGCCGATCCGGTCGGCACATGCGCGCTACACGCGATACTGGACGCAGAAGAGCAAGACGTACCGCCGCATCGCCATGGTGCTGCAGATGGTCGTCTACACGGAGCTGCTGTGCGAGATGAGCGCCAAGCGGCGCGGCGGCGAAAAGGGCCGGTGGAACGTGATTGTCCTGCTCGAGGGCATCAAGGCCTTTTGCCGCCTGATCCTGCTGCGCGTCACGCGGTCGCGGCCGCTGGTGACGCCGGTGCTGCCGGAGCGCGAGCCGATCCCGGAGGACGACGCCGACGCCGACGACGACGACCTGGTGACGGCGCGCAGCGAGAGCGAGCTGATGGACGAGACGTCGCCCAACGGGTCGGCGATTCTGCTCAGCAGCCCGCAGAAGACGGCGTACGAAAAGGAGTGGACGATGCCGCGGACGGGCATGAGCCTGCCCTCGCTGCCGAATCCTGGCGACATCAGCACGTACTTGCTGGGCCGGGTCCTGACGGCGGACGACATCAAGCCGGCCAACAAGCTGCTCAACACGCTGCAGGGCGGCGGCCAGTTTGCCGAGATGCTGCACATCCTGACGCCGCTCATCTACGCCGTGGCGCTGGCCCGCACGCGCAACAAGAAGTCGTGGACGCCGTGGCTGGTGGGCGTGAGCGTGGAATACGCGGCGCGGCAGCTGAGGCAGCGCAGCCTGCGGACGTCTGCGCTGGAGCGCGACGAGTGGAACAAGCGCGGCTGGGCGATGATCTGGTGGGCGATGAGGGGCGCCTTCTACGAGAATGTGACAAAGGGGGCGGTGAGCGGGATGACGAGACGGATGCCGGGCTTTATTGCGGGCATTTTGGAGGATTACGAGTATTTGTGGGAGAATTACTATTTTAGCACGAGTGCTTGAGCTTGATTCGTGCTTGATTCGGCTTGCTTTGGCTTGCTTTGGCTTGCTTTGAGGCGTGCTTGATCTGAACTTGCTTCGAGATGAGAGCTTGGTCGATATACAGCACGAATACTTGACTTGGCTGATATTACGACCATTTACGAAGAGCGTACATGGTTTGGTTCGAGAACTCAGCCATGATCAGCCAGCCGGATCAGCCGTGATTTGGTGGCGTTTCTTCTTTCATATGTTATACTATCTATATATCCAGGTGGTGCCTCTTTATTTTTTGGTGCTACTTGTGCGACATTATTTGGCGAGATACTATTTACTTTTCTATTACTTCTGTTACTACGTTATACAGAGTAGTATCTTTGTGTTACAATCAGGGAGTTGAGAGCGGACTGGGCTGAGAGTTGGATTGTTCTGGACTTTGGGATTCAAGTTCAAGAGAAGGAGAGCTGAAACTGAAGCGAGACTTGACGCGGAAGTAGAAGCTGGATACGGAATGGCAACTGCTCGGACTTGTCAGTATAGAAAGGGACAGAGGGCGGCTATAATACAAAACAGGCATGATAATGGAATGATTGGAAAGCATTTACATGCCATATCACTATGTCCTTGTCCAATGTCTTGATGCCTCGGCAAGAGCGGAGATTTCGAGTGGAGCGCGGGAAAAGAGAGAGATATCAATCAGACAGGGTCTCGCATCACAGATGTGCGTAGCATGATTGATTGCGATGCGTTGTTTTTACTTGACGAACGGAATAATAGCTGGAAAGAAACGTGCTACTATATACGACATGGTGGCGATTTCTCTTTTCTACTGCAAAGTCCGAGACACCCCTGGTTTCTTTGCCGGACCGAGATGATGCAGAACCTCTTTGGGGAGGAAGATGGTAAAAGAGCCTGGCATTTGTCATGTAGGCAAGGGTGTTGTCTGCTTATTGTTGAGCGAAGTGACGGTTGAGAACTCTGTTGCTATTCTTTTGTCTTTTGGCAAGTCTATTCATATTGTAGAATATGGTGTTTGCTGGGAGGATTCACTGCGGAATTAGAGGGGATTGATGGGAACGGGATTGGTTGAGGCAAAGCCCATTGCTGCTCGTTTGATTGTGTATTGAGATATCTGTTGGTTTCTTTTGTATAACGCGTTGAATCGGCCGGAATGCAGAAGCATTGTCTCCAGCTGTCTTCTTTCTTTGTCATTGTTTGTTCCCACCAAAACTTGTACTATTATCCAATTCATGCATTCGCGTCTATTCATTTGCCTGGCTCAATCTGGGATTTAGGAGGCGGCTGTGCCTATGTCGAACAAACATCTGACAGCAATCAATAGCTGGATGGCTACAACTTCCACTATTGGCATGACATGGGAAGCTGAAAGCTGAAAAAAGAGCGATCCATGTGACGTGACGTGACGTGACGAGTTGTCAGGGATTCAACCCTTAGACTTTTGCTCTCTACAATGGTACTTTTACAAGTACTGTTAGTATACAAATCTTAATAAATTGCGAACCCTTGCTTCTTTGCTTTACTATCTAATTTTTCTGCTGGCATCATGGGTCGAGGAATGATGCGCAATCATGTGGCTTTCAGGGATTGATTGCTTGTCTCGCTCGTAGATCGCCGACCATCGTCATGGCGCATTGACTAATATCGAGCCCTCATTTCCTTCTCCGTATTTGCTGCGCAGGGTCTTTGTGGAGAGGAGAGCAATTAGAAGAGGAAAGATTATAGCAGCATGAATGAGTGAAAAAAAAGGGCAAATCGAGGGACGGTCCCCGACGGCAAGTGGATCTATGATATTCATGCTGGATAAATATGGAAATCAAGGCGTTCTTGTCTACTATTTTGAGAGCTGTCTTTGTGGCGGAGGCGTTTGGAAACGAAACGCATAGTGTGTTTCACTAGGCGTGAGGAAATGACTATACGGCTGCTTAGTGATGTTTAGTCGTCCGACTATCTGCTTGTAAGTAGTATGAAGAGATCCGGTCTCCGTTTAGTCTGGGATAAAAAAAAAATGGAAATGGATATGACGAGTGTATCATGTTCGTCCTGAAAAGAAGCTAGAGATTGAGATACGATGTACTAGCATCCACAGCTTCTGTCATTATCGCAATCGAGGGGCAAAGATGAAAAAGAGGGCACAGACGCTGTTTCGAGGCCTGAGCTCCGTAATTAGTGGCAAGAAATGACAAGGAGCTCGCAACATTGACAGGGGATTCCCTTCTATCGAAATAAACACAATCCTAGATGGAAGGAAAGAAAGAAAGAAGAAAAAAAAAGTGAGAGAACCGAGGGAAACGTGGCCGGGTAGCAGCCCGGTGGAGAGAGGCCGAGATAAGAGAAGGGGAAATTATTCAATCTAGAAAGCCACGTTTTTTTGTTCGCGGACTGGAGTCTAGGCCGGGAGAATCGAGAAAATGACATGTGAGGAAGGGTAAATGTAACGCTCTTTGTCTTTGTTTACTTTACATGTATGTGAGTTTATGTGGGAGGTGGGAATGCGTGTAAGACGCATATTTTGTTTTGTTCCTGTCTGTGCGTGCGTGGCGTTGTAGATGAGCTTCCTGATGCGTCCAAAGCTGTGCAGGATGTACTGTAAAAGTTTGAGCATTGTTTGTGGAGTAAATGAGACCCTGTCTATTCTAGAAAAGTAAGGCAGCAGCATCGGGAGCAAATAACCGAAAGGATCCTTTTCTTACTCGAACGGAAAACGGGGAAAAAAAAAAGCTAACAAGATGTCACTGTCTTGCCACTGAGCCAGATGAAGACGCCGGGTTCGCTTAATCTATTTCTGACACAGCCGGGGGGTCAAGGCATGGGGGACTGAGATTCTGTTTGCTTCTCTTTTTTCTTCGATACGGAGTATTGTACAGTAATGGATTATTAAAGGGCTCTTGAACTGAATACGCTGCGAGGCTGTGCAGATGCGATACGACTCCTGTGATGTTGGCGGTTTTGACTGTGATTGCAGTACCGTTTGCACGGAAGTTGAGGTTTTTCTGGTTAGTATTCCGAAGTTGACGGGAAAGTTCAAACATTGGTAATTGATACCCACTAACTTGGTAAGCAGTCTGTAGAGGCAAAGAGCGAAAGAGGTGCTCAAACTGTCCATTGGGTATGATGTACTTGCAGAAACACCTCAAAGTAAAAGTCTAGCAGATCATATAATTGCGTCTAGTAATCACAAAGACCGTGCTTGTAGCTTAACGGAAGCCAAATGGTGCTAGTAGATGGCAGATCATAATACGGAGTACTCCGAGCGAGCATTTGCCCGTATTCTCCAAAGCCAGGGGTGGGCACCAGCTTCTCTCGGCTGCCGTTTATGACGCGCGCGCAAGAAGAGATCAAATCTAGCTTAGGAGCCGGGGATTGTGCAAGTACAGTAGTAGAAAGAGACTCTTTCGAAGGTTGCTACTAGACAACTAGGCAGTGGTACTATCAGCACTTTTCACGGCCTGTGTTTCAAACTCATTGCTGCTATTCCCAATGGGCTGGGACCTGCTCGCGATGCTGCTGCCGATTACTCTCGCACTAACGCAATCGCCTGTAGCTCCGAGCTCAGCCGCAGCTCAAGTGTTTCAAGGCCATGCTTTTTGCTTGCTTGGCGCGGGCTTCTCCATCGATCTGCAACAGACGCTGCAGTCTACGAGTTTACCTTTTCCCGTGTCTGGTGTCTATGTCTCTGTGATTGCGCGACTTATTTTGGTGCCTGGACCAGCGTGTGCCTGTGCCTGTGCCTGGTGCCCCTGGCCATGTGCTCATCTTTTACCTTTTTGCTATTCCTCTTCTTCTTAGCTAAAAACGATGCTAAAAGGCATTAGGGCGTGGTACGGTTGCAGTCGTTGGGCAAAAAGTGAGACATGATGAGACACAAAGCAAGCGTGAGTGTGTGTTGCCGCTGCATTAGTGGCGTGAAGATCACAGCAGAGGAAGATCAGAGCAAAAAGGAAGATCACGATGAGAGAGGAGATTGTCAGTTTAGGTAGGCAGTGATCGCCGCGCGGGAATATGGAACAAAAATTATCAGTTAGCCAAGAAGCGTCCAATCAGACAGACTGGATGCTGTGAGATGACGAGATTTTTCTTTCTTTTTGTTCGTTTTTTTTTTTCCCATCTCATTCTAATTACGCTGTGAAATGTAGAGTGAGACATTGACTCAGTCTAAGAAGATCACGAGCTTGAGACGTGCTTCACACACCCCTTTTCTTTGGACAAGCTTTGTTTTGTTTACTTGCAAATTGGAACAGGCAATTGACGAGGAAAATAAAAAGCCGGTAAGCCAAAAAAGAATCGAAACCGGGGCAAGAAACCGTTACGATACAGGGAAGCCCGGGCTTACGAGTAGTGCTACTTCTTCTACCTGGAAGGCATGTACAGTACCCAAGCAGGACTCCAGATGAGATGCATATGAGCATCGATCACGGCCCATCGACTAGGAAGGAAGAAATCTTAAGCTGCTGGCGCTTCTTCGTCTTCGCTCCCGGGACGGAGAAGCCTTCCGAAAGCCCAGCGTCTCCTCTTTCACCCAACCCCATGGAAAGTATCCCAAAAAAAAGCGCTGTTCCTTTTTTCTTTTTTTTTTGCGCGGGTACGAGCCAAGAAAGACAAGGGACAAGGGGGGGTTAAGATGCAGGCTGTTCCTTTTTGTTCTGAAATTTCAATTGTTTGCTTTTTGGGGGGGGCCACCCACTGACAGAAAAAGAGCGACCAGGGGTTGAGATGTTGTCATTGGCACGAAGCGAAGCTTTTAGTAGCGTTTTTAGTGCCAATTAGTAATTGTTCTTGTCCTTGTGCTGTATTTGCAATAAAGGCCAGTCCATGGCTAAAAGAGAGAGACGAGAGACACTTTCATGGGTTATCCCTGCCATACAGAGGCCATTCCCACCCACACACACTTTTATCTCTCTCTCTTTCTGCCCCCCCCCCCCAGGCCAAGGCTTGAGCAAATCAAGGGCCCCTGAGCTAAAAAAGAAGGGCCAGAGGGAAGGGAAGAAAAACGTGTATCACCCACCCCTTCACCATGCGGACCAGTCACAGCTCGTTGTCGTGCATCTTTTCAGCAGGACAAGGTTTCTCGAGGTCCCGGGATAGTCGCCGAAGTGTGGAAGAGAGAGCAGGACAAAAAAAAAAAACGACAGATTACTTTTTTTGCAAGTGCAGCAGCTGCATGCATATACAACACGCGTATATATTGGCTTTTTGCGAATGAGGGCCGTGATACGCCGGGCTATTTTGTAATGTTACTTACTTGAGCATGCTTTCTAACGGTGTATCTGCCAGAGACGCCCTTGAGTGACAGCTCGAGAAGAAGCAAGACTGTCGGCGTACTGTACATTTGATACTACTGCAAAGTACCTTACAAGTGCCTGTAGTTGAACATGCACACAAAGACAAAAAAGGATCGCCGGCTTGTCCATCCCAGAGCCGCTAAACAGGGGCGCACGGATTGCCATTTGCCATGGCGAAGTGTCGCTGGCAACACGGGAGAAGAGGAGCCCCATCCATCCATCCATAGATAGTCAAAAACCGATGGAAAGGGACACAAAGGAAGAAAGAAAAAGAGTGGGCATACCATCGTCATCGCTCAGGTTGTTATTTTCTTTCTTTCTTTGTCTGACGGCACGGCACTTGTACGCGTTTAAAACGCCCTGTGGCGTGTTCCAGATAGTAGATGTCGATGCTTGTCGATTTTCTGTCCGCGGGTCTCTGAGACACGTTAACGAAGACGAGGCGAGAAGGCTTGCCTCGAATTACACAGACACAGCGTTACCGAGCGCAGGGAGAGAAATAGCGAGCTGGAGGTGGCTACTATCGATCCCCGAATTCTGCGTGGCGTCGTGGCACAAACTCATCAGGGCACGTTTTCTGCGTAGCACCAAGTCTCATCTCGCCGTGTCTCTTCTCTCGTCTCTTTTCTCTTTTGCTGCCTCTTATTCGCAGACGCAGGGCTGCGCTGGCAGTGATCCATCATACAGTAGCCGCGCTTTTTGCTTTCGACCCAGAGACCGATCTCCTCTAAGGACGTACTTTACTGTCCTTGCTCCCAGCCCAGCCTCTTTTTTAGTTTAATAAACCCCCGGGTCCAAGCACCTACTAAACTAAGGCACACACACACACACGCACGTTTTGCCATACAAACAAACGCAAAAAAGAAAGCGATGGATGAGCTGCGAGGAACTTGAAGCCTTAGCCCACGTTGGGATCTAGTGCAACGCCGGTCCATCTTGTTAGCGGCTCTCCCTCTCCTCTGGATGTCCGCTTGATACCGCGCCTTGCCTGGAAGAGCAGTCGCAAGAGCAAAAAAGAGAGCTCAGCTGCTTTCTTAGTTTGCATTGCTCTGGTGGAGAGGGCAGCTCTCTTAGCACCGGGACAAGGCGGACTGGGGCCTGGCCTTGACGCAATGGCAGACTATTACTGAGATGGTGCCTGTATTAGCTCTGGAGTAGCATTACTCTTTGCGCTCTATTTTTAATTTGACCGTCATTTTATTGATTTTGGTCTTGTTTTTTACTTGCCCTTAGCGGCGTTGTGCTTGGGCTTGGGTTTGGGGGCCTGTTTGCTGTTTTTTTTCAGCTCTTCCTTTTTGCCCCAAATGACTCCGCCGGAGCCTTGCGTGGGCTCCCCGGCTTCTGTCGCCTTTTCTAATAGACGTGCAAAGCAAGCAATAATGTACTCGAAGGATGCCTCATCGTGTTCAGCTCGTGGTTCAGCTCGCATTTTGCTGCCACTCCGAGTCCCGTAGCAGCAGTAGCAGCAGCAGCAGCATCGGCTCTTTGTCTTGTCCTCCTTTCCGATGAAATGTGGTTTTGTCGACTTCTCTTCTTCCCTCTTCCCTCGCCATCCCTGCTCCATCGGGCTGTACTGCAATAATACCAAAATATATTAATGGCCGACATCATCCAAATGCGACCCGTGTCGTCGCGATTGGCCGGCAGGGAGGTACACGGTACGGCGGCCTCTGCGCTGATTTCTGCTCTCATCGCCCGTAGCTGGTACAAGACAGGCACACACACTCTCCAGACTATCAACCCTGTCTCTTTCTTGTTGCTGCTTGCAAATTATCCAGCCCAAGCCCAAAGCAAAGCAAAGCCCAGCCTAGGCCTCTCCAAAATCCATATCCATATTAATCACGTCCAGCCCGCTAATCCCTTCAGGGCCTTTTGATTGCACGCATTCTCCACGCCGCGAGACATGGTTGCTGTAACTCCGTGCGTACCTGTACCTGTGCCTGTATCTGTGCCTGTGCTCAAATCGCTGACTGCTCTCTCACTGCTCATCGTCTCTAGATCCCATGTCCAGTCCATCCTCGTACATGGGTACCATTAGATAGATGCATACAAACTGTATGTAGGCATATGCACCATTTGCTTTTTGCTGCTGCTTGGGAAGCAATCCAATCCAATCCAATCCAATCCAGCTAGAGCTAGGCATTCTTGCTTGACCCTGCCCATCCTCTTTTCTTCCTTCTCTCTTTCATTCAATATCTTCCCCGGCCCATTCTTATCTCTGATTCTCCGCCAGTTCCGTCTCCATCTAACTCTCTCTTCTCTCTCTCTTCCTCCCACGCTCTCGCTCTTTTCCTATTACACACAACGTTATTATACCCACCACAGACAGCATCCACCTAGCACTAAGCAGCACAGTATAGCATCGTATCGCATCGGTATCGTACCACTACGGGGGTACTGCTATAGCCACTGCTACTGCTACTGCTATTACATGCCCAGGTGGTCTTGCTGCTATCATTGATACATACTACTACTTCTTCCTACTCTACCTGCTACTGCTACTCGAATATTAGTCGTAGCACTTAGTGCCTGTGTACTACTAGTAGCTGGCGCTACTTCTAGCACGCTCTCACCATCATTATCATTCATTGTTTGGCACTCCTCCCCTAAAGGCCTGGGTCCCCGGCGTTGGCGCGCCTTAGGTCCCCGACCCAAAAGCTACCTCGTCCCGCCGTACCCTCCACACCCCGAAGCAACCTCGCATCTACAAGGCCCGCGAGTACTTATCTTTGGCAACCTTCCGACTAGCCTCGATTCTGCTGCCGCCACTCTATTTGCTACGCAGCAGCCCCTTCGTCACTCAACCCGAGCCCGCTGCTGCTTGCCTCTGGATATTGTTTGATTTGATTATCTCTGCGTCCATCGTATTCCCACTCGCCTAAATCCTAATCCTGCTGCCGTCTCCAGCAAACAGCGGCGCTAAGCACCTCGAATAAGGGCCCGGCCGGAGCCTTTTCCTGCCTGCTGGGATCGTCTCGCACGTGTCGGCAGTACCTGGACCGCAAGTACCGGCACCGTCCATCGGCTGGGGCGCGCAACCACGCTTGGCTGTACCTGGTCTGTACCTCGAGTCTCTGCTTCGGACGGTTCCTTTCCTTCCTTCTCTTCCCTCCCGCAGCCACAGCCGCTCTTTCCCATTGTCTGCTCTCACGCAATTCTTTTTGCGCTCTTCTTTACTTTGCCTCTTTTTCCCTCCTTTAATCCCGTTATCCTTATCCTGCCTCTTCTTCTTCTTCTTCTCTCCTCTGCGCTGCGCTTTTGTACCGACATCCTCTCGCTCTTTTTGAACTTTTTTGATTGTTTATTCTTCCTTCCATTCGTTTTATCGCTTCCCCGACTCTCGCTACCGCATTCGTTCCTGTTCAATCCGTCCGCTGCGGCCAAAAACATACACACACCTGAGCAGCGCTCTATTTGCCTGTCTCAGTTCCCGGCGCTCGACTCCGAATACAACACCCAATTTACATCGCCACTCGTTACATACCATAGCTGCGCAACAGAAAAGGGGAGAAGAAGAATAAAAAAAAGAAGTAGAAATCAAAGAGGGGAAAAAGGACAACAAGAGGAGGGATATCGCCAGCGTCAGATGTGAGAGGCGCTCTCTCGCAATGGATCTCACGGTTCAGTCTCACCAGCTCCAGCTGAGCCAGCCTCAGCAGAATTCGCATACTCATCCTCCACAGTCTCAGATGATGTCTCAGTTCTCGCAGCCTCACATGCAGCAGCAGCAGCAGCAGCAGCAGCAGCAACAACAACAGCAGCATCTTCAACAATTACAACAACAACAACAGCAGCAGCAACAGCAGCAACATCTTCAAAACCTACAACAACAACAACAACTACAACAACAACAACTACAACAACACCAACAGCAGCAGCAACAGCAGCAGCAACAGCAGCAGCAGCAACAGGTCGAATCGCCCAGCGCCCAAAACGTCCTCGTCGAGGCCCGCAAGAACCTCCAGGTCCTCATCGACTTCGGCCTCTCCAAAGACCTGCTCCATCAATGGGTCGACCAGAACCTCGCCCCGTCCGCCTCGCCGCCCGCCGCTGCAGCCACCCCCATCCCGTCGCCGCTGCTGTCTCACCCGGCCTCGTCCCCCTCGCATCAGCATCAGCACCTGCAGTCGCCCCAGGCCTCGGTCCTCGCTCCGCCGCCGTCGGTCTCGTCCGCCGTCCTCAGCTCGCCCGTCGCGTCTCTCTCCACCTCGTCCGCGGCCACGTCGCCGATTCCCATCTCCAGCTCGACCACGGCGCCGTCTCCCGGAACCGGTGCGCCGCCCTCCATCGCCATCATCAAGACGGAGCCGTCGTCCTTTGCCGATGATGTGACCCGCGCCTGGGCCGCCGTCAACGTCAATGGCCTGCCTCCGCAACAGGCCCCTGCCGGCCAGCTCCAGCAGGTCTCTCGGATCGCTCCCGCGGGTGCTCCTGGCGTCGTGAAGTCAGACCCTTCCGCCTTCATCTCGCCGTCCATGTCGTATCTCAACCACCGGCCTCGAATCTCCGTGTCCTCCACCAGCTCAGGATCCTCTGGCCACGCCTCGCTGTGGTCCGTCAACTCCGCACGGTCATCCATGTCGTGGGCATCGGCCTCGTCTCGATCGCTGCCCATGACGCCTTCTCCCTCCTCGGCCAACAAGACAAACATCTACTGGTGCACCTCGTGTGAGACGAGTTTCAAGCGCAAGTACGACTGGAAGCGTCACGAAGACGAGTTCCACGAGCGCTGGAGGAAGTATCCCTGCCCCGAGCCTGGCTGCAACCGCAGCTTCTGGGGCTCCAACTCGTTCAACCAGCATCACAAGCAGTGCCACGGCTGCAAGACCTGTCCCCACGCCGAAAAGGTGGTTAGATTCCTCCGCAAGCGCAAGTACTGGGCCTGTGGCTTCTGCTCTGCCCTGCATCCTGCCCGCGAGCGTCACGTTGAGCATGTGGCCCGCCATTTCGAGTCTGGCCTGGGCAAGGCTGAATGGATGCACTCTCGCGTCATCTACGGTCTGCTGCATCAGCCGCTCATCCACAATGCCTGGGACGCCATGGTGACGGGCAAGCAGGCCGAGTTTGGCGGACGCCGTCCCCAGTTCAGTTGGCATCCCAGCAAGACGGGGCGTGCGCAGGGATTCCTGGAGAAGGAGAATCCGGGCCAGCTCCAGGATCTGCTCGAGTTCTTCTCTGGCGACGAAAGCGAGGCCCAGTGGATCGTGGGAATTGCCTTTGACCTGTCCGACATGGCCTTTTCAAACAACCAACCGTCACCGCAGCCGCAGTTTGCTCCCACGAGCAATGCCATGGTTCCTCCATCTGGCTACCCACAACAGCAGGCAGACGCTCGCATGTCCTTTGCTACACCATTGCCATCGCAGACACCGCAGCAGATGCTCGCTTCTCCTTCTGGCGCACCAAACGCCTTCAACTCGACACCGTACCGAAATCCCTCTGCCTTTGTTCCGTCTCAAGCATTCCCTTCAGGACAGCAGCAGCCTTCTCACCTTGATAAGCGCGAGCTGCCGCCTGTTCCCCAAGGTTCAAATGCCCCCATGACAGAGGGCATGATGGACTTTGAATATTCCGCCAATCCCGTCATCTTCGAAGACTGGGAGAGCATCGCCAGCTCAACCTTTTTAGACACCTCAGCCCACCAACAGCAGCAGCAACCTGACCAAACTGCTGGCTGGGGCATGGGTCCGTTCTATAGCGATCCGAATGTCAATTGATCGAGGCAAGCCTTGGTCAAGACAAAGAAAAAAGAAATCAAAACGCCACAAAAAAACCATCACGCTCTCTTATTAATTTACTACCAATCACCGGTACTACTATCGTTGTCATTTTTATTGCAGTCTGCTGTTAGCATCGATTGTTTTGCACGTCGACGTTGCATCAAAATATTTCCTTAATCTCACTTGCGCTTTTGCCCCATGTACTATTATCACTACTCAGCGCTATCCAGCGAACGTTTTTCCTTTGCATGTCATTGTCAGTCTCTTATTATCATCTGCTTAACGGGCATCGAACACCGCGCTTCGAGCATCGAAATGTCCGCAACCTCAAGGCAACAGCACCTGCTTTTTTATGCATTGCCTTGGTTAATAATGATAATATCAAAATCCTACACCGTTTGTTCTTCTCTACGAATGAAAAACGCTGGGCGTACATTTAGCCGCCACCTGATTTGAGAAGCTTGTTCTCTGTTACAGCCTCAATCTACAACATCAAAATTTCCTTATTGTTATGTGTGTCTTCTATATAGTATCTTACATCGCGGAATCCACCCCGAGGAGGGAGGAGTTGGAGGTTTAATCTATCGAGATGGATTTCTAATGGTCTTGTTATCTGATCTCGGACTTGGGAAGCTTGCAGAGCTAGTTTCTTGTTTTTTCCTTTCATCTTTTGTCATTGGAAATGCTCGGGATCATATACATATATGCGTGCGGATGAAAAAGGGAGGATTTTGGATTACTCGATTGCTGTTTGTCTTGCGTCGTTTTTGCCCTGTTTCTGTTTTGCTTTTGTTATCTTGTTCCTAGCAGTTTAATCGGCCAATGTATACAGGTATGAGGGGATGGAATCTGCAATAGGACTGGTATATGTATGTAGGTTAGTGGAGCGTATAGACGGATAAATGATGATATTCTTGGTTGTTCAGATTCGATCCGATGGGGACTTTACCCTGATGGAGTGATTGCTTACCTACCCAAGCGTATGATGTAGTTAGAACTCTCATGTACCTGGGCATCTTCAGAAGCGAGTCTGCTTTCTTTCATTAGAATCTGCTAGTCTCCCCATGTGATGCATGACTCCGATGCCGCTTTGTTCTGCCACTCTTTTCTGTCACTAGACAATCGAAGAATGGTGATTCAGATGACTGGATTCCCCCTACGAACGACACGAACAAAAGGGAAGATAGTCACAAGATCACGTTAATGAACACTCACGAGATGTCCTCGCATTTTTTTTCTTTGTCCAATGCAGAGTAGACTGCAGCGAGCGAGCTGTTCAAATTAGCGCAATCTATACCTTTGATCGATACTCTTGGTTGTTCAGATTTTGACTTGAAAGAGACTATATTGTTCATGTGATGACTGAGCAGTGCTTTGCTGGTCAGTCCATGCTGATATTGCTTAAGCGGATTTATCTCTTTAACCCAAGTATCTCTACGGACCACACATGCTTTTACGGATGAACAAAAAGGAATTCATTGACGGTCGCAAGATCATCATGATGGATAGCTAGTATTTTTATCCTTTTGTCAGAAGGCAAGAATAGACTGCAGCGAGCCAGTTGTTCAGATTAGCGCCTTGTACCCCTTATGCCTTGCCATTTCTCGTGTGTGGATTCTAGTCTCTGAGGGTGTTCAACAAGCAAGTGGGAGGAATAGAGGTTGTTGTTCAGCGACGAATTCACTGCGAACAGCAGATTTAATGTCTTGATCAAAGTGAGTGAAGTTTTTTAGTCGTATCTTAGGGCTATAAAAACTATGGCCATTTTCTATAGATTCGCTTGGGATCCTATCACCGACCGTAGAAAGCAGAGTTGAGTATAAGGGATTTGCTACCTTGCTTTCTATGCACACACACACACATACTATCTCTCTCTGTCTATAACCTTTATACGTATCTGAAATGATCTTGAGGAAATCTATCTTTAATTGGGCTCGACGCGGATCGCATCCACCTGAGCAAAGCGGGGGAACCTCTCGCAACGAAACTAAACCTGAAAAATTGATCGATATACTCGAAAACACACCTGCTAACAAAATACGAAAGACACTCATAGAATATATAAGAGAAGGAAATGATGACAGGTCTGATTACTTTCAATGGGAAGGTATGAAAGAAGGTGAACGGATCATTTTTGAGAGCCTATTTGAGGATTATGCGACGCTCGTAACCCGATGGGATAAAAAGAAATGGGCAAAGAAGTTTCAAGAGGAGCGTAAAAGGTTTTGGGATGAGGGGTCTGGAAGCAGGTGGAAGATTGGCTCTAACCCTGACCATGATGAGTTGCCGATTCATAATAAAGTGGTCTAGTACTTTGCTCAAACATTAAAGAGCGAACAGAAAGAACAAAGGGTTGTTGTCAAGTGACTGCTAAATCATATGGAAGTAGAAAAAAAGAGACATCGTGATCAAAGAGATGAGTTCTATTTAGTCGTGTTTTACCAATATAAACCTGTGACTATTTCCCGTATATTAAGTTGGTGCATCATCGCGGATGTTTAGAAGCAGACAAGATCCTTACCTATCACCTTGAGTTGCCACACAGACAGACACCCGGACAGAAACACATATACACACACATTCTCATCACGTTTATACGCATCCAAAATGGGCTGTGTCTCCTCTAAAGTCGAGACTCCTATCGAAACTGAAGAACAACGTGAGTTACGTCAATTGGTAGAAAAGGGTCGCGACGGATTGCGCGAACACCTACTGGGATGGATCAAAGCCAAGAAAGAATTTGAACGCCATCTTTCACAAAAACACATGAGCAACGCTGAGCGGAGTGTATTCTTCGACCTATTCCTTACATATCGGAGCTCTCGAGTGTCAAAGCCATGGGCTGAAGAATGGGATGAGAAGTACAAAGGGGCATGGGACAGTCTATGGGAGACTGGGTCTGGATTGAAGTGGCGTCACGGAAAGACTGGCCGGGACTCTGAGGAACTTTTTAAATTGACGAATATAGGGTCTAATGTAAGTTTGACAAATTTTTGAGCAGTCTGGGCCCTTTGTTCAACGATCAAGGAGCGAGTAAGAAGAAAAAGGGTTATTGTCAAGAGAGTAATGTACTCAAACGGAATATGTAACGCTTTGTTAAAGAAACCGAATCTATTTTAGTCGTGTTTTGTTCAGTACGAATGTACGCAAGTGGAATATGTCTTGCCTTGATTAGAGAAATTGAAGCTATTTGTGTTTGAAAGATTATTAACGCTATAACCATTTGCTGTATATAGTATCGTTCTCCAAATCAGCCTCCGACGAGTCAGAGCCAGCCGCAAGTCGATGGACGTTTCTTGTCTGCGTGAGGAAACCTATCATATTTCTGCTCCGTGATTTTAAGCAAAAAATGTTGGGAGACGAAAATTTTGAGTTTGGCAAGCACGCTCTTGTTACTGAATATATGAGCAAGGACGTCAAGCAGAGCTTCGGAGAGCTATATGGGAGGCGCAAATGGCCCCCAACGGCCGAGTGGGCAAAGATATTTAACGAAAGCTGGACGCCTTGTTATAAGTCGATGACAAATTTGCCTGAGTTATAGGCCGTGAGCAAAGCAGAGCCACAAGTCTGAGGATGTATTTCATGCCAATGACGAATGCTCCAACACCCTACCTACTTAAACTTTTCTCTCGGTGGGGGAATTTACGTCTCCATAGAGCGAGACCTTGCCACATCGGTCGAAAAATTGGATATTCGAAACCTCTGTTGGCAAGAATTATTCAAATTACGGAGTGTAAAAAAGGCACTTGAAGCGACTTTTGGACGAGGGAAAGACGAACGAACGCTGCTCATGAGGCCGTGATTGTTAGAGAAATTTCCGCAAACAGTGAGGGATATGGGACAGAGGTTACAGACTCACGTATAGGAAGAGAAGAGACTGAAACATCAAGATTAATTGCGATATCAGGGATTGTAACTGCAAAAAGAATACAAAAAGAATAGTTGAGCAGAGACGTGGACAAACAAGATACAATAGGGGGAGGAGAAGTCGCAAAGGAAAAGATATTTTTGAACACTCGTTGGTGATAGATTGACAAGCAAGATTACAATCAGCATATATCTGAGCAAAAACAATGATTTCCTATTCTCACAGTATGAATTGACAGTGCTGTATTAGTAGCGAGTGCTTGCCAGTTGCCTCGGCCGAATCAGGAGGCCACCATAACGTGACCTGAAGACGAGCCCTTTCTTATCGTTTGCAACTATGCACGCTGGGCTCTGTTTTTCTTCTGCTTTTCTTCCTTTAACAGTTTTCGATTTTTTCCTCTTTCCTAATGCAAACGCTAAGGGCTTTATCTGAATTACTTTATGCATTGTCTGGTGATCTGTTTGCTGCACCTCTTTTTTCTGATTCTTAGGTGCCTCAAGCGTCACCACTTCGAATGCTTCCTCCCGGCGTCTTTTTCTCTCCAGCTTTCAAACACATCTTTCTTCCAAGTCGTCTCTCTTCTTTCTCGAATTGCTTCTTTGCTTCTTGTATTATTCTCCTGTATCAACCGCTTTCATCCGCTGATCTCCCATTCCCACCACCATCGACCACAACTAGCACTCCTGAAGGGCCGGCTCTGGGTCCTTCTGTCTGGTGATGCCCATTTCAAGTCGTCTATTTCTTAACATTAGTTTGATTCCCTGCAGACCCCCAACCCCAAACGCCACTGCTTTGTCATTAGATTGCTAACAATCATCGTCATTAGGCTTAGGTATTCGCTTCGTCCCATCATCCCATCGCGCCGCCTTTTCAAGCGTTAGACTCGACATGAATCTCATACCCAATGAGCACTTCCGTATTCGTTCCCTCCCATCCTCTCGTGCCCGCCGCACTGAGCATGAATCTGCTCGATGGGTCAATGTACAGACTCGAGATGACACCGGCTCTGGGTGGTCCCGGGATGATGAGAAACGGCACAGTTGAGTGCTTGAAGGCGCGAGTTTCGCGCAAGTCATACAGCCTGAGGATATCATGCGAGGCACTATATGCAAGAAGTCTTGTTAGCCCA